GTGAAAATGAACACCTAAGCACCCCGTAATAAGTTATTTTATAGAATAAGGTTGACTAATGAGTCCTGGTAGATCAGATGGTTAACGCTCGCTGTAACTATAACAGAACGCGATTAACCCGGGTTCGACTCCCACCGGCACCAATGAAATTGTTAATTGAAATTTTAAGTGCTGATTTACCACGTGCTCGGCGGTGAAGGAAAACATCGTGAGGAAACCTGCATGTCTGAGGAATAAGAAAAAAATATTTCGAAGACATGTGAAGTTCGCCAACACGCATTGGGGCAGCGCGGCGGACACTTCCTTGCCCTAAAACCCTCTCAGAAATTAGGGGAAGCCTGTGCCCAGCAGTGGGACGTATATAGGCTGTACCTTTACGAGCACACAATCCAGCTGATGGTAATTAGATGCTGTGGCCTACATCTACTAGGGTATATCTTTCCTTGATTAAGAATCAAGATGCGTTGTTACCCCTGTGGACTAAGATGAAACGCCTAATTTTCAGTACAAAGTGTCTCCGGTTCTCTACACTCACTGTAGGAAACACAATAGCAGCTATTCAACGCTGGTATACTGAAAAGCGTGGTTCTACCTCGGTCGAGCAAACCCATTTGTGCTACAAATATAATGTGAAAAAATTACAACTATAATATAGCTGTTAAAATTTTTACGAGGCAAAGCCGCCTCATAAAGTTTTTATTTATTATTAAACGGCATAAATCCATAAATAAGTTTTATTCTAAGGGCTAATTATATGAGGGACCTGTATGTATTATATGCACTGAAACTAACATAACCACAAGTAATGAGGCAATTTGAAGAAACTCATGAATACTTCGCCATCATGTAGCATGATGAAGTACCAATAAATATGAAAACATTAAAATGTCAAGTATTCAATTAGTAGGATATATAAAGTAAGGTCCCGCTATGCAGACAATTGACTCCCTCTTTGGTCAAGTGATAATAAACGCGGTTTCTGATCATGAGACCCTGGAAACGAATCCCGTGTCGAGTCAAAATCAGTTATTGAATTCTTCTGTCAAGAAATTCTCAATAGCAGTCTGAAAGTTGGCACTGTTTCAGAAAGCCTGTTAAACCATTGTTCTTGCCCCTGATCTCTCTCCGATTGTGTCGGACAACAGTTCCATCGGACTATGAGAGTGAGAGAATAGAGAGTGTACTTGTGCTTGCGCACACACTCGAACACTGTAGTCCTGTGCTGCGCAGATGAATGTTTTCTGTTGGGTCTAGTCGCCGTAATCTGGAGGACATTATATCATTATTATCATAATAACAATAACTATTTAAATATAATTCCGGTGTACTATTTTGATAAATGGTGGATGATGATTTTGATACGTGGTAGAGCCACGCTGCAGCTATATTATGTTTGTAGCACGAATGGGTCGGCTCGACCGGGGAAGGACCACGCTCTCACAGAATACCAGCGTAAAATAGCAGCTTAATACTGCTGTGTTTCGTATGGTGAGTGCAGAGATCCGGAAACCCTTTTTTAATGGAAACATGGCATTCCATATTAGTCCTCACGGGCGACAACGCTTTTTTTTTGATGCTTAATTGAGGATAAATGTAGATGTCTATGAGCCACAGTATCCACTTACCATCAGGTGGACTGTGTGCTCGTTTGTCACCCTTATTGTATAAAAAAATATAGACTATTTATTGGGTCACCTGTATGGTTCTTAGTTTAGGTGATCTGTTCTGTCGAGATCCAGAAATAATCCATTCGAAGCTAGAGTGGATCGCTGTGATACATTATTAAATTTGTAATGCTTCTATGCTTATTTTAATTATTTGTAATATACTAGCGATACGCCTCGGTTTCGCACGGGTGATTTCTTGATCTGAACAACAGCGCCACCTACCGGCTTCAAATGTGAATATAAACCATCAAGGGACCTATTCAAATACACACAAAAAATGTCATCAGTATCGCTCGAACTGTTTTTAAGTTTTAAAGAGACTAACGAACAGCAATTGATTTTTATGTATGAAGATAACTGTTGGTGTGTGCGATCGTACAAGATCTGAACGACTTGAGATCACATTCACACACTATTTTTCTGTCGAGACGATGGTTCGTATCAAGGATTGGATAGATGCCGCTATTGTCAGATTATTAACAAATTCTTTAATGGCCAAAATGACTCATATTCACGAAATAATTATAACATATTTTAATATATATGTTTAGTGCTAGATGCAGGTAGCTTAGGACCGTGCTTTGTGGCGTTCTTTGGGGGAGGCCTATGTTCAGCAGTGGACTTGTGAAGGGCTGTAATGACGATGATGATGATAGCACATCGATACAGGACTAAATCGTAAAAATTATGTTAAGTTGAAATACTAGCCCACTTCGAAGCTTAATATTTTAAAGTTATCTTTGATAAATTACTCAAACTCGTACGAACCAGCCAATTTTCCAATTGTATGAAAAGCTACGATCTACCATCACCGGTTTTACCAAAATATATATGAAAGTCCAATGTATCTTGTTTTTTAAGGTTTGGTTCACAAATATTTGCGGTTTGATAGTGCGTGTGGCACCAGCAATACCACACAAATTCAAATACAAATACATTTATACATATAAATAAAATCAAGGTCTCCTTTGTTTTTTAATTGTCATAATTCATAATTATTTATTTGCATAGAATGTAAGTAGATATTACAAGTCTGTTATTATGCGATTATATGCTTGATATTCAGACATAAACAACCATTTTTGAAATTTTACTCTATCTGTTTGTCTGTCTCTCCGAACTGATCTTCGAAATGGCTGAACTGATTGTGATATAACCTCACAAACAAATATAAAGCAATGCCAGGAAGGATCTAGACTGTATTTAATTCAAAAAATTTGAAGATTTAAAAAAAAACGAATAAATTGATAATCCTATCAAGGCTAAGCCGATGGTGACTGGGCACAGGCCTCCGCTCATTACTGAGAGGGTTTTAGGGCAAGGAATTGTACACCGCACTGCCCCATTGAGCGTTGGCGAACCACACATGCCTTTGAAATATTTTTTTCTTATTTCTGAGACATGAAAGTTTCCTCACGATGTTTTCCATCACCGCCGAGCACGTGGTAAATCAGCACTTAAAATTGCAATTAACAATTTCATTGATGCCGGCGGGGTCGAATCCTTTGCTCGCGTACTGTGAAATTTACAGCGAGCGCTAACCATCTGAGCCATCACGGCTCCTCTGAGCTACTTTTCTGATTATACTTTCGACTAACCAGTGATTGGTGGAAAGTATAATTAAAAGTTCTTTGTGCTATATAAAGGTAGTGTTATAGAATCTATCATTCCATTTCGCCCCCAGGATCCGTACGACGCAACTATGAGATATGCTAAAAAATCCTTTGGCTTCTCATTTATGGTTCTGTAACCATCTCGTTCATATTAGGTATTAAATATCTAGACTGACGTTGGGGAGTTGTGTTATAGGTGCGAAACTTCTACCGCGATCGTCAATCCATCCTGGAGTAACAATAGGGCAAATCCACTCTATAATTGAAGCAATGCATGTCCAGTACTTAACTTTACGTGCTGAACAGGAACAAAAATGAATAGAAGTCATTCTTAATATAGTATAAGTGTGACAAACGAGCACACAGACCACCTGATGGTAAGTGAATGCTATGACCTTAGAGTCTCATTCTTGCTACAGCTACAACACCTAATCATGGCTACAGCACATAAAAGTCATTTCAGAAAACAAAAAGAATTTATCTCGCGTGTTAATCATAATTTAAATTTAATTCATCAACAACCATTAAATATTTCTTACACAATCACTTGTCGATATTCAAAATTACACAAGCAAGAGTTATACATTCACAGTATTAATTGTTACAAGGTGTGATATTTTTAACAACATGATAGGCTTATGCAAAAATAATAGCCTCATTGACTGCGCAACTTAAAAATTATGTTATTATAATAATTACATTTCAACATATTCTCATGTTAGGAACACCAGCACAAAATTAGATTGTTTTTATGATATCTAGGGGCTCTGTATTTGTGATATGCTGTTTTACATATAAAGTTTTATACTTTTTTATAAATTTTTGGGATTCTTCAGTTGACACTAATAAATAATCAATTTCCGAACTTTTATAATTATGATATTATTACGTGCAGTTTTTTTTTATTTCAGCCATTATGTGCAAAAGCTTTTTGTATGTGAAATAATTACTTAAGTTCACTCCGCGAAAACTTATGTATATTAATTTTTTCACTACTAAACTTGAATTACCTAAGAAAGTATTGCGCTTAGTGCATATATTTCTTAACACTTTCTCAAAAATTTTATTAAAATAGAAGTAATTAAACAAAGGCAAATTACATAATTTGATTCAAATATTTTTGCTTTATGGACGGAGCGCTAAGTATATTTTAAATGATGACGAAACCTTACATAACTTCATCACATGCACTCAGAGCACACATCTTTCTTTTTTCTTTCTTCATCAGACCACAAAATTTCTCTGCTGGACGCACACGCATGCACCTTAAACCATTTTGTCTATTTTAAGTGATTTAAGTTGCATATGTGTGTCTAAATGCGTGTTCTAACAATAGGTTGTGCATTTAGGATTAGTTATTGCGACAATTGAAATATACACAATGTTCCGTCTTCCTTTCTTTGTTGGTCTTTGCAGGGTATGAGCTGATGAGAACCAGATTTCTGTAGGGTTCCTAACTAGATTTTTATTTTGATACCTGTTTTTCGAATTAAAACGCAATCAAGTTTTTTTAAACCTTAATGACTTAAAGTCAAATCAAAATTTCGAAAACAGTTTTGAATTTTGTTCAACATCGTAGTGACGATGTAAAATTATAAAAATATATTTACAAAATTAAAAATATGTGACGATATTTAGTTTTAAGATAATCAAACACCATTCATTTTATATTTTGTATACAATTTCAGGGGTATGAAATATATTTTTTTTATTGTTACAGGTTATATCATCAATTCGTGTGCAAGGTACGTACAATATTAAAAAAAAACATGGCTGCCATCCTAATTTGCGTGCACTTTTAAATCAGTAAGTTAATTCTTAAAATGATTATTTTATTACATATTATTACAATTAATTCATTCAATTTATCCATAAAAAGTTATGAACAAAACTTAATTTGGTCATAACTTACACAAACTTTAGTAATCATACGCAAAAATAATTTTGTTCAATCCTTTACCCATACGTCACATGAACAAACGAAAAGAACTACCTTTTCCTCTGTACATAACTAATAAAATTTCCGGCAGTTTTGTAAGATAAAATATACTAAAGCTACCTGCTTATAAAATAACACTAGTTTAATGCTGTTTTTCTCACGACTGCAGCAGTGCAAAGTTCGAGCTCTTGCTGCTTAAAAGATATGCGTGAAGAGCCGTACGTGTGTGCAAAATTAATCATAGTGATCCTAATGATACGCGAATTAGAAACGCTGCAGTCGAAACCGATTCTAATGCGGACGTATACAGCCTAGCATTAGTAACACGCCAGCTTTAGATTAGTGTAGCTAATTGTTAACCCGCTTTATACGCGTTAATTCTTCATATAGATCGTGTAACTGTGACAGGTAGACTTGATAGGTCCTGGTTCGGTTCCTTGTTTAAGCGGAATATTTTGTATTTTTATATCGTACCTATGCTAACGTCTTCCAAAATTTAGTAATGATACAGTATAGTTTTAGATAATGCAGAATAGAAGAAGAATAATAGCATGTTAACCTAAAAATATAAGCTTAACCTTAAGGTAATGGCATGAGAATAACGACTCAGACATCTCATGTACATAAGATACGATAAATTAATACTATTAAAAAAATAAAATAAAATCATTTTTTTTCCAGACAGAGTCCACATATGTGACATACATTATAACAAATTTATTCTCATCTCGTTTTATTTCATTTAATTCAATTAGATTTAATCTAATCTACCTTTCTAATTTAATTTAATTTAATTTAATCTTGTTCAATTTATTTCAATTCAATTTTACTTAATTCGATTGTTTAACATAGAAACTTCTAAATATTAATTACTTCAATAATATTGAATTATTAGTTAATGGTTTCTTAATTATCTTTGATTGATTTTTAATCAGGCTCTTCAACGCCTGGGGAATATGCCTAATTTTCCTCGGTGTCAACCCTAACAGGTAGAAAAATTTGGCATATCATCGAACTATATATTACTAGCGTTCAGCTGGCTTACCACTATGAGATATAATATATATTCTATCGCGCAATATAAATTATATCCCGCGATTGCCCTTCACACTGTGAGATATATCTTTTAACCAGTGTGCGTTCGTCACTGGACGATCTGAGCACGTAGCGCAGCCGCGGAAGGGTGTACGGGTTACAGGAGGTGAAATGTCTCGCTCACTCTCTGAAATCGCTCGGTCGATCGAAAAAATATTCATAGTTTTTGATGTAATATATATTATATCTCAGTGGAAACGGTACGGTGAGCGATATTAATTTATATCTCGAGATGTAATATAAATTATATTATATCCCATAGTGGAAAGTGGGCTTAAGTAACACCTCAATGTGGTATATGAGCTTTTATATCCAAATGATATTAGAACTGTGCCTTAACTCTCATGACGGTAATAAACGAGAAAGCGCTGTAATTTTTTTTATTTTTCTGTAGAATAAAAATAGTGACAAACGAGTACACGAACACGGTGTACCAGATGGTAAGTGAATTCCGTGGCCTATGGACACCTACATCTACGTTCGATTAATAACCGAAATATACATAATAGACGTTGTCATCCCTGACGACTACGAATCCATATTATATGTAAACTAGATTAATCTGATTGATGGGGTGAGAAATTTTGTGATAAGAGAAAAGTGTAGTTTGCAAGATTTTGTCACTAGGTTAGTTAAAGAAACGCTTAGGTAATTTGGACAGATAGAAAAAAATAATGAGGATAGAAAGCCAAAGCAAATTTATGCTGCAGAAGTGAGTCACATAGTCAGCTCGGGATGCTATAGACGGAAATTTAGAGAGATAAATACATAGATAACACTTTATTGTTCGTCAAAAATATATAAATACTAATAAAAAAATGTGGTACAATGGGCGGTCTTATCGCTAAGAGCGATCTCTTCTAGACAACTTTTGAATGGACAGTATTGACAATAAAAACATGTGTGTTTGGCGACAATAATAATATTATTTTTATTTTAAACCATAAGTTAGTAATATTAAATGGTAAACAAATAAAGTAATAGTAGTATAATATGCAAATAGGAAATTTGTTGAACAAATTAGCGATAAAGATGCGACGTTTGTGAAATAAACGAGAGAGGTGTGTCAGAGTTGTGCCAAAAGTAAGTCCGTTATGTCTGCCTACACTCCCCTCCTCCCCTCTAGATACCAGGTGAGAGATTTTATGTCTTATATATGTAGATACGTTATACGCTGGTATTCTGTAAGTGCGTGCTCCTTAATCTGTTAAGCCGATCCAATCGTGGTGAAACCATAATATAGCAGCGTAGCTCTATCACGCTAACACCGTATGTTAAAAAAATGTACCACGTGTTATACAACTTAATTCGACTTTCATTGCGTATGCGATACGTGATACACTATGTTACAACACAATCCATCTCAAAGAAACAATTCAATCAAACTTCGAGAAAGGTTGCATTCACTTATTGAAATTTGGTTACAATAGGTATTAAATTAATAATTCATATCTACCACTCCGTTTGCAATATATACAACGACAATCAATCTAATAAGCACTTTATTGTGTAACCTTAAAGTACCAATTACCAAAAATCAAATTAAATCTCAAGCTTTCATAAAAACGGCGATATATTTAACCCGGCGAGCATGAGCAAGGGTATCACACACCCTGATAAAATTTCAAGGTGGTGTATTTTTTAAAATCCTCGCCTGGAAACTCTAACTCGCTCAGTAGCTGGAGTGCTGGGCGCCTGGGGCGGGTTAGTGGCGTGATCGCAGTGTGGCGTGGGACACCGGCCGTTATATTCGTGGGCAAACCTGTCTCGGGTATGTTATACCCTGCCTCATTTTTGACGTATTTTTTTACGTAATGATTTGATCATGAATTATGATTGTTTTATTAGTTTTTTCTTTGATGATTTTAGTATATAAATTTGTTGTTCATTCATTTATACTGTGTTATGTTAGTTGCAACAGTAAACGATGGGCTAGACTTTATTCTATGGTGTCTTGAACATGGCAGCTATCAATGCTTGCATTATATTTATATCGAGAAAACAAAAACGTCACAATCAAGGGAACGGAATTCATTCGTAATAGAATTTTTTTCGTGATTAATAATTTTTTTTTCGTAATTTACGAAAACCTACATTCAAGAAAATCAAAAAAGCATATTCTAAGCTACATCCGCCAGCGAATCTTAAAACAGTTCGGTGAGCCCTCGCCTAGACATGTGAATATACCCGGGCGATATGTCAGATGTCAGGATTGTCCATACAAGAAGGATAGAAAAACCAAATATTCCTGGAATGCTTGTGCCAAGCCCATATGTATGGAGCACGCAAAATTTATTTGCGAAAATCGTGCTGATCTCGACAGTGGTGATCAATCATAATTTTTAATTAAAAAAGAATTTCATAATAAGTTTTTTACAAGGACGATCTCAATATGCTTTAATTTTAAGTTGATTTATACTCCAAAAATAATATTTTTGTTAAATTATAAATTTTTGTAGGCCCTTAAACTTTTGTTTATTTAGTTACAAAGTTTATGAAAAACATGATTATATAATAATAATTTCACAATTGAGAACTTGTTTCATTTAATTCTATTAAATTATTCATTAGTTTACATAATAAAATCATCAAAGTAAAAATAATAATAATAAGAACTTAAATATGGTACATTAAATTATGGGTATATCCCACCCTGCCACATTCTAGATGTAACTTTTTTTAAACTCATGCTCGCCGGGTTAAGTACACAATAAAGTACCAGATCAATTATTGTTGCCTTTAAAATAAAAGTTGTTTGCACTATTTATTTGAATATGACAGTTGTGCTCTATAAACATATTTAAAGGGCCTTTGCTTATTAAACACTGACCTTTATTATACAGTATATATGGAGGTCAATAATTTTTACGTGGTAGAGCCACGCTGCAGCTATATTATGGTTGTAGCACGAATGGGTCGGCTCGACCGGAGAATGACCGCGCTCTCACAGAATACCAGCGTAAAATAGCAGCTCCATGCTGCTGTGTTTCGTATGGTGAGTGTAGAGAACCGTGGATCCTTTTTACTGGAAATTATATTTTCTAATAGTCGTCAGTGGTGATAACGTTTCTATATTTTGATTCGCATCCACTTACCATCGTGTGGACTGTGTGCTCATTTGTCACCTGATTCTATAATTAAATTTAAAAACATATTAAATAATTGAACTTAAAAAAACTTAAAAATCCGACTTCAAAACCAATATCAATAAGAAACTATCAAAAATTTATAGAAGCTACTGAATTCGGAAACTATTATGTAGAAATATTGGCTTTTATGGTTTTGAAGTCGAATTTAAATTTAAAGGTTTTTTTTGATGAGTTAAAGAATATAACAAGTTTTTTTTCTCCTTATTTATTTAGCGGTTTTTTATCTGGAACGGAACGGCCCCGTCATACCCTTATCTTAATGATGCGCAGTTCACCGTTCAGCGCATATCACCTCTTCCTTCTTCTTTATAAAATAATCAATTCTAACCACCAGGTATACATTAAATACTTTATAGTAGATAATAAAATAACGGACACGAATATCTGCAACATTACTGTATCAAAGTAAAAGTTGATGTGTTCGAGTAAACATTTTCATAAAAGTCGCCGAAAATATTAAATTACGAATTGAAATAATAAAGGTATCCAATAATTTTGCCCGACAGTGTACCTACCTCCCACCACAGTTTATCTGTGCTCACCACTCGTGTCGGCAACTATA